CTGCAATGCAATTATTCACCCAGCTCCCATTGATTCTAATGGGATTTGGCTGGATAAATCCCCATGTAACTCTTTGAAAATTTGGGAGCTTTTGGGCAGCCTCTGCTCAGAGGTGCAAAACTGAACAAATGTTAGGATGGAAACACGCTCCCTTTGAAATACGGTTAAAATGCAGCAGTAAGTGTTGTGAGTGTCTGAGACTATTGCTGTCTTGGAGCTATTTCTGAGAATGAAATTCATTCCCCTCCTTCAGCAGGTCAACACAAAGCCTGTGTGCCTTCTGGACACAGCCCCCAAGCTTGAGGCTCATTCGTGCTCAATAAAGCACTTGAGCACATGCCGAATTTGGAAGATATGTTTAATTCCCTCTGACTTCAGCGTGTGCATGACTGCTCTACAGCACAGTGATCCAGGACCTAAGTGGTATGACAGCGGTCCGTAGGTCTTGGAGTAGCTTCAATTTTCAGGTTTCAGCTCAAGCCCCTGCTTGAGCTTTATATATACACTGCTTTGCTCAGTAGATGTCAACTGGGCTGTGCGAGGGCCAGCATGCTCCCCACCTGGGCCTGGCCCACCATCTCCATGGAGCTCATCTCCCCGCAGCCTCCTTCCCATCAAGCCTCGCAGCTTCGAACCCTGGAAGCCTCAGCCCTGCAAAGGCTTATGCACTCAAGTGATTAATCCTGCTGACTTCAGTGGGAGCAACACTCTGCGCTTCAGTAAGCTTTAGCGAGACCAAGGCTTTAGATACCAAACGGAAAGACACAATATACAGAACCATAAGCTAAAATAGCATAAAGAGCTTGGATTCAGTGCACTCTGCTCCATTCACAGACACACTTCCTACACTGTAAATAGCTCCACCAAGTATGTATGCATGCTGCTCATTTCTTTGTTGTACTCTTACTGGAATACACCTACTATTCCCCGCCATGTTTTCTTCTTCACTCAGTGCAGCACCCTATCTCTCAGCTTCAGCTTCCTCTCCAGGTCTCAGCTATCCTATTTTAACGCTCTTTTCTGAGCTTCCCCAAAACACAGCTCCGCAACAGTTACGTCGCCATGTTTTAAGTTTGCAAATACATGCAGTCTCCTCTTGCCGGCCGCTCAAGTTCACAGCGTCCATCAGCCCCTCCAACGCTCTGCCACTCTCTATCATTGTCTTCTGAAGCTGTGATGCCTTAGACAAGATAAACACCACTGGAGCCAAAAGTAATGCTCCTTCTCTGTGTCAGTTATTTCCCATTTTTATAATGGGACAGATGCCAGATACTGCTGTTGTGTAAGACAGCTCTACATGTGTTGCCTTTATGATGATTCCACAAGTCTTTCAAAACAGCTTATTGGAGCCCAGATTCTGGAGTCATGCAATATAAAGGTCTCACTGCTTCCATTTTATGAAACAGACATTTTTATACTTAGCTTTTCAGGGAAAGAAATTGAAAGAGAGAGTTCTAATAGCTCAAAAATTAAAAGTGACTAAAAAGAATCCTAATGCTATTATTGAAAACTTTGTGTTTGTAAAGCAGTCACATGACTGGTAGAAAGAGGAGACTGGCTCTTGAATTTTCATTATTTGGAGTAAAGAGTTTTGCTTCACTAAACTGTTCAGATATGAGGAGAAACACATTTTCATGTCTCGCTTTACAGAAGATTAACTTACTATTTCTCCCCTGTCTGGTGCGCTTTTCTGCTTTTTAACAGCACCTCCTTAACAAAATAAAAATGTTCCTCTTTTATATGACAATATCCAGAAGCTAGACATAAAATAGACAATGCACAGAGCACAGCATGTGCATGTATATTTCAGTGCATAGAAATTTGCACTTTCAATTTTAATCAGTGCAAATGACAATTAAAAGCAATAGTCTTTCAACTTTTGCAAGAAGAGATCCCATTTTTGCATTTCACAGGGCATTTAGAAGTAAAAAAATTTATTGCTTGTATAGGGGAACAACTTTCATTGATTTAAGCTTATACTGAAACAAGCTGGTGACCATCTTGCTTTATCTATATTGTTTTAGTCTTTCACCACAAGTGTATGCAATGAAATACTTTCATGTTATTTTACCTTCTTGGTAAATTGCGTGCATCAGTAGATATGAAAAAGTATACAAGTTACTATTATTTTCCTAACGTGTTTTCCCTTCAAGTACAGTATTGTACTATTGTTATCATATTGATAATTTGCCAGTTATCTGACAGACCTGCTCTGGAGCTTCAGCAGTTCTGACACTCTCACAAATGTTCCAAAAAAAAAATAAATTCATATTTTTTGCTTTCCAAGAGTGCCAGAATCCAGTCTAGTCAGCCAGAAAGAGCTGTTTCCTTCTAAGGCCAAAGCAAGCCTTTTAAGCATATCAAGTTTATGAAAACATAGATGAATCCAGTAAAGCGGTCTTTAGAGAGCAGCTCAAAGAATAAAAATATGTTCAAGTCTTCGTTGTACTCTGTTGAATGATACAGCCAAGCCTAGAACCGATAGCGCTGTCTGGTAATCCAAACATGAGATGGAAAGACAGGGCCCCAAACATTAAATGGACATGTCATTAAAATTGCTATGATTCAGTTCACTCTATCTTAAAAAGCCCCTTTGGCTTTGATTAGATTTCTGAGACTCTTGTTTGATATGTATAACATAGTATGTTAGTACTGAATGTGTGCACTACTAGTTGATGCAGAAACATTCCTCTATTACCTAGTCCCATTTCTATTGTTCAGCCCCATATTAAAACAAAGGGAAAAAAAGAGAGGCAAGAAGTAGAATAAAAATATATACAATTTTTCCTTTGAAAGTTTCTTTGTTAGAGGTAAATCCTCTTTAGCCTTCCAACTTTTGCAAGAAGAGATTCTATTGCTGGGGGTTGACCTGCTGGAAAGCAGCTCTGTGGAGAAGGACCTGGGGGTCCTGGTAGACAACAAGTTGAACACGAATCAGCAATGTGCCCTTGTGGCAAAAAAGGCCAATGGTGTCCTGGATTGCATTAGGAAGAACATTGCCAGCAGGTCAAGGGAGGTGATCCTGCCCCTCTACTCAGCCCTGGTGAGGCCACATCTGGAGTGCCGGGTCCCGTTCTCGGCTCCCCAGTACAAGACAGACATGGAGCTACTGCAGTGAGTCCAGCAAAGGCCTATTAAGACAACGAAGGGACTAGGGCATCTCCCTTATGAGGAAAGGCTGAGAGAGCTGGGACTCTTCTGCCTGGAGAAGACAAGACTGAGAGGCGATCTCATCAATGCGTACAAGTATCTGAAGGGAGGGTGTCCAGAGGATGGGGCCAGACTCTTCTCCGTGGTGCCCAGCGACAGGACGAGAGGCAACGGGCACAAACTGAAACACAGGCAGTTCTGCCTGAACATGAGGAAAAACTTCTTTGCTGTGAGGGTGACAGAGCACTGGAACGGGTTGCCCAGAGAGGTTGTGGAGTCTCCTTCCCCGGAGATACTCAAAAGCCATCTGGACACAACCCTGGGCAACGTGCTCTAGGTGACCCTGCATGAGCAGGGGGGTTGGACCAGACTATCTCCAGAGGTCCCTTCCAACCTCAACCATTCTGTGACTCTGTGATTTTAAAGGGCACTTAGATATACTATGCCACTGCTCTTAGAGTGGAACACTTTGTAGTGTTTTAAGCATATTTTGATGGTTTTGATGCATGTTCTGTGGTGAATGGCCAATATGGAAGCTATATAATGAAACTGCATCAAATTATGAAATGTAACCCACTGTGTTAAAACATGTATGTTTTTAAATTAAAAAAAAATTATACTCCCACGGAAGTCAGAATCCACCATCATCTCTAGATAAGGCCATTCCCTCCCACCAATGGCTGATATTAAGTAATTATATGATTGTAGCAGTTATTCATGCACATACCAGGAGCTGCACAGCCATGCAACATCCCCTGAACATTGCCCCAAAGACTGTACAGGTCCCACAGGCAGGGTTCAGTTTGGATGCCAGCACTTGTCACTGTGGGCAAAATCCTAATGAAATAATGAAAACAATGAGAGCACACTTAAACAGGATTTTTAAAGAAAGCTGAAGGTGACTGTACAAGTTACTACCGGTAAGCTGTTCAGAGCTGTCATTGTATGCACTTTTAGCCCATCCAATAAAGCAAGACAAGGAGGCTACAGCATCAATTTTTCAGCATGCTTTACCCTCCAACAGGGGAGTCAGCCAGTTAGCAGGGACTGATTTGTTAAGCCACCATAACTGAACGGCACAACTGAAACATCCCACAAGCACCAAAAGGGTGCAAATACTGCCCCAGTCCTATATGCTGTTGCTGCCACCCAGGCAGTATGGCCATGCGTCCTCACTGGCAAACAGAGGGCAGAAAGAGCGACGGCTGTGACCGTTGCTGAGGGCTAGGGAAGAAGGGAGACGCTAACCCAGGCTTTATTAAAACGTCCTGCAAAAAAAATCTGGTGCTTGGTCTTCCAGCACTTGTGGGAGAGAAGGAAGGGAGCAAATAAGCAAACCAGATGAATATATAAATACTCTGTCAAATCTTTTTTTCCTCCCGTCACATCTGCACTGAGCAGCTCCTGCACTTGAACTCGCCCCTCCGCCACCGCCTTGGCCCTGGCTCCGCGCTTCGCTGCCCAGCGCAGCTGGCAGCTCTGCGTTCAATTTGCCATTGCTCTGAGAGATTTTGAGCGGTGTGCCACGCTTGTGAATACTGAGCAACCTGAGAATTTTGGTGAGGCTTGCTGCCTCCGGCCGAGTTTTACAGAGGTCCCTGGCGCTGTTGTGGGCAGAGCAGGGCCTTTCTTCGTCCCCACAGTCAGGGGCTGAGGCGCCAGGACTGCCCAGGTGGGAGCCCAGCCCTGGTCACCTGCACCCATACACCTGAGATCGCCCACATGGAAAAGGCGTTATTCACTGTGGCCGCACTGGGGTTTTTCTCTTCTCCAGAGGATGGGCCAAGTGTAGTTTTAGCAACGCCTGAAGTGGCCAGGTTCCCATTGCGCTGGGTGGAGTGAAGGCCGCAATGGTGGCACGTGCTGAGCAGCACGTCCAGCCAAAGGCAGCTCACATCGCAGAGCAGACCACCCTGCGGGTGCTGTCGAAGGCCGTTTTCCCCTCAGAGCTCACCATCTCTCTCCAGCACGTCAGAAACATGGGAGCCAGTGGAAAAAAAACCCTCTTTTAAAGACTGTGCACGTTACTGTGGGGTCCCAAACTGGCGAGTGCAACACCACTGAACGCTTAAAAAAAATACAAAAGCCAAAAGCTTAACCCTTGAGTTTGGCCTGTGTTTTGTATAACCGCTCGTCGTGGCTTGGGCAGGGGGCGATCGCTTTGAACGGTGGGGCCGTCTAGAGAGGCATGCCCTCCCCGCGGCTGCCAAG